AATGTACCGCCGCGCGCAGCACAGACACACAGCTGCTGCCCAGCCGCAGCACAGACACACAGCTGCTGCCCAGCCGCAGCACAGACACACAGCTGCTGCCCAGCCGCAGCACAGACACACAGCTGCTGCCCAGCTGCAGCACAGACACACAGCTGCTGCCCAGCCGCAGCACAGACACACAGCTGCTGCCCAGCCGCAGCAGCTGTGTGTCTGTGCTGCTGCCCAGCTGCAGCACAGACACACAGCTGCTGCCCAGCCGCAGCACAGACACACAGCTGCTGCCCAGCCGCAGCACAGACACACAGCTGCTGCCCAGCCGCAGCACAGACACACAGCTGCTGGGAGAAAAGCTGACTATCAGATGTAACGTTATCTTTGATCATATTTCGTCTCGTCACTTTTCGTCAACGATATTGCATGTTGATTTCGTTACAGTTATTGTTTACTGCCGTCCATGCCGTCTCGTCATCGTCTCGTTTTAGTCATTTAGTCGTGTGTGTGTGTACCTGGGGGCAGGTGCATCAGGTGGTTCCTCCTGATGTTCAGGTCCCTCAGATTCTCCAGCTGACCGACCTGAGGGGGCAGCGTCTGGATCTCATTACAGCTCACATCCTGCACACACACACACACACACACACACACACACACACACACACACACACACACACACACACACACACACACACACACACACACACACACACACACACACACACACACACACACACACACACACACACACACACACACACACACACACACACACACACACACACACACACACACACACACCCACACACACACACACACACACACACACACACACACACACACACACACACACACACACACACACACACACACACACACACACACACACACACACACACACACACACACACACACACACACACACACACACACACACACACACACAGACAGATGAATAATGATGAATGATGATATTGATCAGCACCAGCTCGGTGAGGTGTCAGAGCTGGTGCTGATCCAGATGAATATATAATGATGATATTGATCAGTACCAGCTCGGTGAGGTGTCTCAGCTGGCCCACTTCCTCGGGCAGAGCCATCAGTTTGTTGTTCCCGGCGATCAGGACCTTGAGAGGCAGACTGCAGATCACCGGGGGCAGGGCACACAGCTGGTTCCGGCTGCAGAGGGGCTCATGTTACATTTCACATTTTAGCATTTATTTATCAATTTATGCATTTCACTTTTTATTCACATAACATTTGGCCATTCTCCACTTTTTAAATCTTATTTAACTAATACATTTTAAAAAGAAAAATCTCATATTTAACCAATAATATTTAGCTGTTTTCCCCCAAAATTCACACATTTTACTAATAATTATTTTTCACATTTTGTCATAAGACATTTTTGAAATTAGTGATCGCAAATGTACCTGATTGGTTTTGGACATTTTCATATTTTGTTCACACATGTTACTAACTAACATTTGGACATTCTCCATATTTAAAAATATATATGAATATTTGTTTCATGTAGGTGTGTGTGTGTGTGTGTGTGTGTGTGTGTGTGTACCTGAGGTTCAGGTAGGTGAGGCTCTGCAGGTTCAGCAGGCTCTCAGGTAAAGTCCTCAGACAGTTCTGGTACAGGTTCAAACTCTCCAGAGACACGAAGAGACACACCTCCAGAGGAAGCTCCGAGAGGCGGTTACGAGACACGTCTGCAACACACACACACACACACACACACACACACACACACACACACACACACACACACACACACACACACACACACACACACACACACACACACACACACACACACACACACACACACACACACACACACACACACACACACACACACACACACACACACACACACCACACACACACACACACACACACACACACACACACACACACACACACACACACACACACACACACACACACACACACACACACACACACACACACACACACACACACACACAATAAATAAAAGTGTCTTAATGAGACGACTAAATGTCATCACAAAAAAATTGGGATCAATAAAGTATATCTGTTTCAGGTGTATTACACAGACTGTGTGTATACAGGTGTATTACACAGACTGTGTGTATACAGGTGTGTTACACAGACTGTGTGTATACAGGTGTATTACACAGACTGTGTGTATACAGGTGTATTACACAGACTGTGTGTATACAGGTGTATTACACAGACAGTCTGTGTACAGGTGTATTACACAGACAGTCTGTGTACAGGTGTATTACACAGACAGTCTGTGTACAGGTGTGTTACACAGACAGTCTGTGTACAGGTGTGTTACACAGACAGTCTGTGTACAGGTGTGTTACACAGACTGTGTGTATACAGGTGTATTACACAGACTGTGTGTATACAGGTGTATTACACAGACAGTCTGTGTACAGGTGTATTACACAGACAGTCTGTGTACAGGTGTATTACACAGACAGTCTGTGTACAGGTGTGTTACACAGACAGTCTGTGTACAGGTGTGTTACACAGACAGTCTGTGTACAGGTGTGTTACACAGACTGTGTGTATACAGGTGTATTACACAGACTGTGTGTATACAGGTGTATTACACAGACAGTCTGTGTACAGGTGTATTACACAGACAGTCTGTGTACAGGTGTATTACACAGACAGTCTGTGTACAGGTGTGTTACACAGACAGTCTGTGTACAGGTGTGTTACACAGACAGTCTGTGTACAGGTGTATTACACAGACTGTGTGTATACAGGTGTGTTACACAGACAGTCTGTGTACAGGTGTGTTACACAGACTGTCTGTGTACAGGTGTGTTACACAGACTGTCTGTGTACAGGTGTGTGTTTTATTGAGTGATATAATAACGAGAGACAGGGAACTCTTCTCCATGTTTGTCAGACTAACAGTGACACGGGCTGAGATTCAGAGAGAGCATCAAACCCTTTGAGATCAGCAGTGCCTTTAGAGCTTTAGTTCAGTTCAAACACTTCATTGATCATCATGTGAAGTGCTTATAGCTTAACAGAAAGGTCACAACACTTCATATGATGACACACAGTACACACACCTGTCTGACGGGATGTCACATGGTGAACATCTGTATTTCATAACAACAGGTAATCAATGGTTTGTGTTATTGAGTCCATTAGCTCGTTATGATTCAGGTCATTTCACTGGATCCGTGAGGGGGTTATCTATACATCCAGCTTATCTAATACACCACACTGAGTATCTAAATCATGTATTATTCTGTATTATATATATTATTACTGTATTATTCTGTATTATTACTTGTTATTATAACTCACCGTTCCTGCAAGTGTCGGTTAGGTCGTGGTTGTTATTATTATGTATTATATATATATATATATATATATATATTATATCTATAACCACCCAGCTCTGGTAGTACCCCTCAGGTTGTTGTTGTATTGTTATGTATTAACTACCCAGCGGTAGTCGTGTCGGTGAGATCAGGTTCTCGGTGATCCGGGGGAACTCCTTCAGTTTACTATGCCTAGTTATTGTGTATTATTAAACATGATATATATATATTAGTATATATGATACACTAACCAGCGGTAGTCGTGTCGGTGAGATCGTGGTTCTCGGTGATCCGGGGGAACTCCTTGAGTTTCCGGCCGCTGAGGTTGAGCCTCCCGGTACTGGATCCTTCTTCCAGAGCCCGGTCCAGGGATCGGTTCCAGGAGGCGGTGCTCCCGGGGCTCCCGGTGCTGTTCCCCGGCCCCACGGTCCCCCTGAAGCCCGATCCCATGGTCCCTCTGGAGGACGGGCCTCCCCCGGGAAATCCACTGCTTCCTCCGGTGTTTTCCACTGAGCCCAGCAACACCGAGGCCGCCATTACTCTGTTAGCTCCTCTGTGCTAACGGCTAACTCCACCCTAAACTCTGCGGCGCATGCGCAGTGCGGCGCGCGCACTGTCACTGACGGAACACCGAGTCGCGTGCACCCGCCAAAATATAATAAGTTCATAAATAACAATAATATTGTTTTATTATGTATTAACTTATTATTGTATTACTTTCTATGTCTGCCCCTTAGTTTTTTATAATCTGACTATTACAACATTAGCGTTAAGAAAGCTTACTTAAAGCTCCCATGTCATGCTTTTCCGGTTATTACCCGTCCCCTTGTGTGTTATGAAGGTTTTTATGCATGTAAACGGTGTGCAGAGTCAAAACCCTCAAAGTACACCCTGTAGCGAGTAAAACTCTAACACAGAAAATACCTCCCCAAAACGCCTCGTTGGAGATACGTCACTGCCCATTTGAGTCTTCCATTTAGTTCCGGGTACCGCCTGATGTCATGCGGTACCCGGAACGAAATGGACCAATCCCGAAGAGCTATGGCCACACCAGCAGCGTCGTGTTCCTCCTCCAGAGGTTCGAAGAACCGGCATTTCACAGACGAAAGCTTCCAAAACATTGCCCAGTTTGAGGCCGGATATGCACAGCTTGTTTGGACCGTTTGGAGCAGGGGAAGATCTGGGTATACAACCTGTAAGTTTGCATTGTTATTTGTGTATTTATCAAACAAGACTGTTTAAATGTGTAAACTGTGTTGGACTGCTAAGCCATTGACACAGTGCTAACTGTGCTAACTAAGTTGCTAGAGTTTCCATATATCAACTCTAATATCAGCAGATGGCCTTGCATACATGTATCTCATAGCAGGAGAATGTCTGCATTCACACACAAAATACCTATTGACAGTATACTCCGGGTGATTTGCCGGTCAGTCGCGAAACGTAATTACATTATAGCTGGCGTAGCGATCTAACACACGGAGCTAGAGCTAGTTTCGGTCAGAAAAACATTTTTGTGATGCTACGTTGCTAGCGTTTAAATATATCAACTACAATGTCAGCAGATGGCCTTACATGTTTGTCATGGCAGGAGAATGTCTGCAGTCACACACACGGAATACTCATACAGTATACTCCGGTTTACCGTACATTGTGACCGTACATATACTGCATGTAGCTAACGAGGCTAGCTGTATGCTAGCGCAAAACAATGTATTCATGCAAGTTACATTGTATGGTAGCAGAATACCCGTATACGATTGCAATTATAAACACGTTATTGCTAGCCTAATATGAACCACTAGCTTTTGTTCATAGTAGTTTTATTACACTGCATTATAGTTGCCTTTCCTCCAAGCTAACGTTCATATCGTGTTAGCTACCAAGGTAAACAAAGCTAGGTTAGCATATTAGCAGGCAAGCTGTTCATTACACAACTACTACTAACGAATCTAAAACAACTAAGTTTCTCTAATATTTTGTGATTTGCATTTGATTTCGTCCAGCCAGATCCTGGCGGACAATCCATGACGGGGAAGGGATTCTACTACTACTGAGGCCTCGTGCTAAAAGGCACCGCACCGCACCGGCTGTGCGCAGGCAAGATGCGAGGAGGAGGAATGAATGATATACCGTGTGTATATATGTATATTTATGTTCATTTTGTACATTTCTAAAAATAAAGTTTAATGGAAATACTTAGTAGGCCTATCCTTTCTTCCCTGAATTCATATATAGCAAACCATGATTTGATTTCTCATCAAACAGTAGTAGTTTATAACGGGTAAAAATAACTTACTCTTTGTTATGAGAGTCGCTCGTAGGCCACAACGGAAAGACAAGGAGACATACACGAGTTTACAAAACCACGGCACATTTATTGTAGTAAATGCAGAGACAGGTGGTCGAGGGGAGAGGGTCGCTCAGTTCGTCCTTCTGCAGCCGCTTTGGAGAGAGACTCCGGGCCGCTGGGATTAATAGCACCGGCTACGGAGGTGTCCGTGATCGCGCTGATTACCCTCTTCAGCTCCACCCCACCGTAAGACAAAGGCCCTGGGGCCGTCACACTCTTCTATAACAACAGTTAAAAATATATATGTATATAAAATATACCGCTGTACCGACGCCATGATAAGACTGATGTTACGCTGAGAGCAGCCGGGAAAAGCACTGACAAGGGCGCAGCCTCTCTGGTGGTTGACTAATCAGAACGAGTGGCCGAGCTGACCAATCGGAGCACACTAGGCTCACAGGGAGGGGGGGGGCAAGAGCTCCAACGAGTCGTTTAGTGGAGAAAGTGAATACTGCTGAATACACATGCTTGACAGAGATGCTGTATGCGAAACCAATGTGAGTTTGGAAAATTGCACAGTATAAATCTATTTTAGTATACCTCAACAATGTAATTATGATCAGTGGAAATGGCCATGACATGGGCCCTTTAAATATCTGCCACAACATAAGTAACCGGATCAGAGTAACATTACGTACAGTCCGCGGCACTGTGAGTGCAGACGTCGATGTGTCCCATTATCATTCATATCATATCACATCATAATGTATCATATATCTCCTTATCTGAGTCAGCTGAGCCGTATCTGGCCGTGCAACACTCACAGTGTCACATACTGGATGCAGAAGTATTATTTTAACACATTAAGTTGATGAAACACTCGAGTCAAATGTAATTAAAGTCAGATCGTGTCTTAGACGGGGCAGTGATATCATAAACCTGTTAATGTACGCATTCAAACACTTTTTCTGTTACCAGCTGTATTCACCTTGCAGGTGCAGCTATGTGGCTTTGATCCTGGATAAAGTGTTTAAGTCATGGATGTTTAAAGGGGACCTATCATGCAAAATGCACGTTTGTACGTCTTTTCTACATGAATATGTGTCCCCGGTGTTCCAGGGAACTCACCAAGTGTCAGAAAACACAACCCTCTCTATTTTCCTCCATACCCAAATCTCTAAAAAAGGGGCTGCAACGGATCTGATAAAAACGGATCCAGATTTGAACACTGTCCTGACGTCAGGACGGTGGCGCTACGGCTATTGGGCCAACTCTCCACCTATCAGGGGAATGTGGGGTTGGGCCACGGCCGGCCATTGCCGCTCGAACGCGCTGGAGACGCTGTAGTACATATGCCAGGCCTGTAAGTGGCGCTGTAGTCTGCCACAAAAGCAGCGAATAAGACTTCCCGCGCATAGTTACCATGGTTACCCTTCTGTTTATTCTCCGCTGTGGCTTTCTTTCTCCCTCCCCGAGGCAAGCGTTTGCTCCCGCTGCTTTAATTCAATGCAATCCCTCCCCGTCGAGGCAAGCACTGTAATTCTCTCCGGTTAGTCCACCAGCAGATGACAAACACCCACCTCTCCGCCTCTTCCAAGGAACGAGGGGACCGTGCGGCAGAGTTTCAGTTTCACTTTCTTTCTCCGGTCAAGATGTCCGTTAAAGTTTAAATCCTCCGGACAAAATTAGAAAAGTGCCGGTCAAAGGTCTTCTTTGTTATTTATTGAGCTTTAAAACAAATGAATAACGACTCTATATAATAAAACACGGAGGACGGAGATCTCTTTTTCTCCCCCTCTTCTGACAGCCCAGCAGCTGATCAGAGCACGTCTCCCCTCTCCTGCAGGGGGGCGTTGTCAGCAGAATCAGACCCGTAGACAGCAGACAGCACATAGAGCGAAATGAGGCATGGCTAAAATGCATGATCTGTTTGGTATTTTGAAAACAGAAACGTATAAATATACCTTATATAGGTATGGCCCTACAATATATCATTTAAATATAGCATGATAGGTTTCCTTTAAAGTTTAACTTCTTCATATTTGACTAATATTAAAGTTCGCTGCGCTGTCAGTACGCTTGTCCATGTTTGAGATTGGTCGAATGCTCCAGATACCACCCCTTTCATGTGAACGCGCACCTAACTAGATAGGACACGGCTGGCTTGAGCGATCCACTTGATAACCAGCGTCGTAGTACAGCTTAGCGAGAGCGCGTATGTTTTGGATTGGACCAACCGGCTAACTCAAACATATCCAGGTTAGGTTGAACCAGCTTCGTAGTACAGGCCTCTGCTCACAGGTCCTCCCTTTACTCTGAAGGACCTGTGAACACAACGTGTGTGCTCACAGGTCCTCCCTTTACTCTGAAGGACCTGTGAACACAACGTGTGTGCTCACAGGTCCTCCCTTTACTCTGAAGGACCTGTGAACACAACGTGTGTGCTCACAGGTCCTCCCTTTACTCTGAAGGACCTGTGGGTTTCGTATTGAGAGTAGTACCCATAGAGTCCAGTAGAGGGCGGAGCCTGTGTGAGATATAACTATAAACATACACAACGTGGATAAAGGTTATCTTATTATCTTATTTTAATGGTGAACACTTTACATTTGTATATACGTTTTTATGTTGTTGTACTTTTTAATTATTTAATTATTATTTTAAACATGTAAACAATAATAATTCTAATTTATTTTCTATCCATTTTGATTCGTGTAGTATTCTCATCTGAAATTATCATGAAAACTGCATCCCCCAGAATCCTCGGCACAGTCCGCATATTGACGCATGCGCGGTGTGGCGGCAGTGTCGGGGCCGGGTATCATGGCGACGTACGTGGACATCCTAAGGAGCGAGTTTCCTCACATCGACACGGAGGTCTTCGACTACATTAAAGGTGAGGGACCGGGGGGAAAGAGTCTCTGAGAGCCGGGGGAAGAGGAGCCCTTTGTCCGGGAAAGAAGAGCTGTTTGTCGGGACAGAGGAGAGACATTCACCGGCCTTTAATCTGCTGCTAGCCGGGCGGAGCTAACAGGCTAACACCGTGTGGAGACACCGGTTAGAGATCATGACATGGCCGGGAATCAGAGCTGAAACCCGGGGGAGGGAGGGGTTATATACCGGTGTACTGGAGGTGTGAGAAGTACTCAGATCTGGTACTTTAGTAAAAGTAGAAGTACTCAGATCGTGTACTTGAGTAAAAGTAGAAGTACTTAGATCTAGTACTTGAGTAAAAATAGAAGTACTTAGATATTGTACTTGAGTAAAAGTAGAAGTACTCAGATCTTGTACTTGAGTAAAAGTAGAAGTACTCAGGTCTTGTACTTGAGTAAAAGTAGAAGTACTCAGATCTTGTTCTTGAGTAAAAATAGAAGTACTCAGATCTTGTACTTGAGTAAAAGTAGAAGTACTCAGATCTTGTACTTGAGTAAAAGTAGAAGTACTCAGATCTTGTACTTGAGTAAAAGTAGAAGTACTCAGATCTTGTTCTTGAGTAAAAGTAGAAGTACTCAGATCTTGTACTTGAGTAAAGTAGAAGTACTCAGATCTTGTTCTTGAGTAAAAGTAGAAGTACTCAGATCTTGTACTTGAGTAAAAATAGAAGTACTCAGATCTTGTACTTGAGTAAAAGTAGAAGTACTCATATTACAGCAGTATCTCAGGTAGTATTTGATGCAGTATCCAGGTAGTGTTTGATGTAGTATTTGATGCAGTATCCAGGTAGTATTTGATGTGTACTGTGTGTTGCAGGTGTGTTGGAGAGCTGCGGGCCAGACTTCGAGGATGGGGAGGAAGTGTTCGACGCGGTGGGAGGAGTCCTGCAGGAAGTCTGCACCGACAATAAAAACGAGGACGACGTCAAAGAGATCTGCTACCAGATGTTCAACACTCTCAAACTGTGAGCAGCGCGTAGGAATATCACGCGGAATAATGCGTGTCCTTCGGGAATAATGCGTGTCCTTCGGGAATAATGCGTGTCCTTCGGAAACAGCGTGCGTGTCCTTCGGGAACGGCGTGCGTTTCATTCGGGAACGGCGTGCGTTTCATTCGGGAACGGCGTGCGTTTCATTCGGGAACAACGTGCGTTTCATTCGGGAACAGCGTGCGTTTCATTCGGGAACAGCGTGCGTTTCATTCGGGAACAGCGTGCGTTTCATTCGGGAACAACGTGCGTGTCCTTCGGGAACGGCGTGCGTGTCCTTCGGGAACGGCGTGCGTTTCATTCGGGAACGGCGTGCGTTTCATTCGGGAACAACGTGCGTTTCATTCGGGAACGGCGTGCGTTTCATTCGGGAACAATGTGCGTTTCATTCGGGAACAGCGTGCGTTTCATTCGGGAACAGCGTGCGTGTCCTTCGGGAACAGCGTGCGTTTCATTCGGGAACAGCGTGCGTTTCATTCGGGAACAGCGTGCGTGTCCTTCGGGAACAATGTGCGTTTCATTCGGGAACAGCGTGCGTGTCATTCGGGAACAGCGTGCGTTTCATTCGGGAACAGCGTGCGTTTCATTCGGGAACAGCGTGCGTTTCATTCGGGAACAGCGTGCGTTTCATTCGGGAACAGCGTGCGTTTCATTCGGGAACAGCGTGCGTGTCATTCGGGAACAGCGTGCGTGTCATTCGGGAACAGCGTGCGTGTCATTCGGGAACAGCGTGCGTTTCATTCGGGAACAACGTGCGTGTCCTTCGGGAACAGCGTGCGTTTCATTCGGGAACAGCGTGCGTGTCCTTCGGGAACAACGTGCGTGTCCTTCGGGAACAACGTGCGTGTCATTCGGGAACAACGTGCGTGTCATTCGGGAACGGCGTGCGTTTCATTCGGGAACGGCGTGCGTTTCATTCGGGAACGGCGTGCGTGTCATTCGGGAACGGCGTGCGTGTCATTCGGGAACGGCGTGCGTGTCATTCGGGAACGGCGTGCGTGTCCTTCGGGAACAACGTGCGTGTCCTTCGGGAACAACGTGCGTTTCATTCGGGAACAGCGTGCGTTTCATTCGGGAACAGCGTGCGTGTCCTTCGGGAACAGCGTGCGTTTCATTCGGGAACAACGTGCGTTTCATTCGGGAACAGTGTGCGTGTCATTCGGGAACGGCGTGCGTTTCATTCGGGAACAAAGTGCGTTTCATTCGGGAACAGCGTGCGTGTCCTTCGGGAACAGCGTGCGTTTCATTCGGGAACGGCGTGAATTTTGTGTGTGGAGTTGTGTCTTCCCGGCTGTAATGTGTGTTGTGTTCATCAGGAATAACCATCATGGGAATCACAGGCAGGTTCTGCTGGATGCTCCCGTTCAGCTCTCTCAAATCTCTGCAGACAGCGGTAAGAAAACAATTACTATTCTAAACTCAGTGTTTGATGTTAACCCTGTCTCACTGTGTTTGATGTTAACCCTGTCTCACGGTGTTTGATGTTAACCCTGTCTCACGGTGTTTGATGTTAAACCTGTCTCACGGTGTTTGATGTTAACCCTGTTTCACTGTGTTTGATGTTAAACCTGTCTCACGGTGTTTGATGTTAAACCTGTCTCACGGTGTTTGATGTTAAACCTGTCTCACGGTGTTTGATGTTAACCCTGTCTCACGGTGTTTGATGTTAAACCTGTCTCACGGTGTTTGATGTTAACCCTGTCTCACGGTGTTTGATGTTAAACCTGTCTCACGGTGTTTGATGTTAACCCTGTCTCACGGTGTTTGATGTTAAACCTGTCTCCTGGTGTTTGATGTTAAACCTGTCTCACGGTGTTTGATGTTAAACCTGTCTCACGGTGTTTGATGTTAACCCTGTCTCACGGTGTTTGATATTAAACCTGTCTCACGGTGTTTGATGTTAACCCTGTCTCACGGTGTTTGATGTTAACCCTGTCTCACGGTGTTTGATGTTAAACCTGTCTCACGGTGTTTAATGTTAAACCTGTCTCCTGGTGTTTGATGTTAAACCTGTCTCCTGGTGTTTGATGTTAAACCTGTCTCACGGTGTTTGATGTTAAACCTGTCTCCTGGTGTTTGATGTTAAACCTGTCTCCTGGTGTTTGATGTTAAACCTGTCTCCTGGTGTTTGATGTTAAACCTGTCTCCTGGTGTTTGATGTTAAACCTGTCTCACGGTGTTTGATGTTAAACCTGTCTCCTGGTGTTTGATGTTAACCCTGTCTCACGGTGTTTGATGTTAAACCTGTCTCACGGTGTTTGATGTTAAACCTGTCTCACGGTGTTTGATGTTAAACCTGTCTCACGGTGTTTGATGTTAACCCTGTCTCACGGTGTTTGATGTTAAACCTGTCTCCTGGTGTTTGATGTTAAACCTGTCTCCTGGTGTTTGATGTTAAACCTGTCTCCTGGTGTTTGATGTTAACCCTGTCTCACGGTGTTTGATGTTAACCCTGTCTCACGGTGTTTGATGTTAACCCTGTCTCACGGTGTTTGATGTTAACCCTGTCTCACGGTGTTTGATGTTAACCCTGTTTCACTGTGTTTGATCTTAACCCTGTCTCACGGTGTTTGATGTTAACCCTGTCTCACGGTGTTTGATGTTAACCCTGTCTCACGGTGTTTGATGTTAACCCTGTCTCACGGTGTTTGATGTTAACCCTGTCTCACGGTGTTTGATGTTAACCCTGTCTCACGGTGTTTGATGTTAAACCTGTCTCCTGGTGTTTGATGTTAAACCTGTCTCCTGGTGTTTGATGTTAACCCTGTCTCACGGTGTTTGATGTTAACCCTGTCTCACGGTGTTTGATGTTAACCTGTCTCACGGTGTTTGATGTTAACCCTGTCTCACGGTGTTTGATGTTAACCCTGTTTCACTGTGTTTGATCTTAACCCTGTCTCACGGTGTTTGATGTTAACCCTGTCTCACGGTGTTTGATGTTAACCCTGTCTCACGGTGTTTGATGTTAACCCTGTCTCACGGTGTTTGATGTTAACCCTGTCTCACGGTGTTTGATGTTAACCCTGTCTCACGGTGTTTGATGTTAACCCTGTCTCACGGTGTTTGATGTTAAACCTGTCTCCTGGTGTTTGATGTTAAACCTGTCTCCTGGTGTTTGATGTTAAACCTGTCTCCTGGTGTTTGATGTTAAACCTGTCTCCTGGTGTTTGATGTTAAACCTGTCTCACGGTGTTTGATGTTAACCCTGTTTCACTGTGTTTGATGTTAACCCTGTTTCACTGTGTTTGATGTTAACCCTGTCTCACGGTGTTTGATGTTAACCTGTCTCACGGTGTTTGATGTTAACCCTGTCTCACGGTGTTTGATGTTAAACCTGTCTCACGGTGTTTGATGTTAACCCTGTCTCACGGTGTTTGATGTTAACCCTGTCTCACGGTGTTTGATGTTAACCCTGTCTCACGGTGTTTGATCTTAACCCTGTCTCACGGTGTTTGATGTTAACCCTGTCTCACGGTGTTTGATGTTAACCCTGTCTCACGGTGTTTGATGTTAACCCTGTCTCACGGTGTTTGATGTTAAACCTGTCTCCTGGTGTTTGATGTTAAACCTGTCTCACGGTGTTTGATGTTAAACCTGTCTCCTGGTGTTTGATGTTAAACCTGTCTCCTGGTGTTTGATGTTAAACCTGTCTCACTGTGTTTGATGTTAACCCTGTCTCACGGTGTTTGATGTTAAACCTGTCTCCTGGTGTTTGATGTTAACCTGTCTCCTGGTGTTTGATGTTAAACCTGTCTCACGGTGTTTGATGTTAACCCTGTCTCACGGTGTTTGATGTTAACCCTGTCTCACGGTGTTTGATGTTAACCCTGTCTCACGGTGTTTGATGTTAACCTGTCTCACGGTGTGTTGATGTTAACCTGTCTCACGGTGTTTGATGTTAAACCTGTCTCACGGTGTTTGATGTTAACCCTGTCTCACGGTGTTTGATGTTAACCCTGTCTCACGGTGTTTGATGTTAAACCCTGTCTCACGGTGTTTGATGTTAACCCTGTCTTCACTGTGTTTGATGTTAACCCTGTCTCACGGTGTTTGATCTTAACCCTGTCTCACGGTGTTTGATGTTAACCCTGTCTCACGGTGTTTGATGTTAACCCTGTCTCACGGTGTTTGATGTTAACCCTGTCTCACGGTGTTTGATCTTAACCCTGTCTCACGGTGTTTGATCTTAACCCTGTCTCACGGTGTTTGATGTTAACCCTGTCTCACGGTGTTTGATGTTAACCCTGTCTCACGGTGTTTGATGTTAAACCTGTCTCACGGTGTTTGATGTTAACCCTGTCTCACGGTGTTTGATGTTAAACCTGTCTCACGGTGTTTGATGTTAACCCTGTCTCACGGTGTTTGATGTTAACCCTGTCTCACGGTGTTTGATGTTAACCCTGTCTCACGGTGTTTGATGTTAACCCTGTCTCACGGTGTTTGATGTTAACCCTGTCTCACGGTGTTTTGATGTTAACCCTGTCTCACGGTGTTTGATGTTAACCCTGTCTCACGGTGTTTGATGTTAACCCTGTCTCACGGTGTTTGATGTTAACCCTGTCTCCTGTGCTCAGTGTGTGCAGCAGAGGACGTGCAGGGCATCTGGATGATGAAGCGCGGTCAGAACACAGTAGGTCGCCTCCATTTAAACTCCTGTCTAAACAACAGCTGATCTGTAAGAGTTGATCATGTGACTTCCTGTCTGCAGACGGTCAACGCTAAGAAGCTGGAGAAGGCCGAGGCGAAGCTGAAGGCTAAACTCGATCGCCGCACCGAGAGGGACGTCCTGAGACCCACCGCTCCAATGTGAGTACTCATTTGTCCTCACCTTTACACATCTTTACACACCTGTGCTCTCAGTACTCACCTGTCCTCCTGTCTTTTCTCTCAGAGTCCTGGAGGAGGCGTCGGCCAGTCAGGCGAGCAATAAGAAAGACACCCGAATCGACCTATCAGGGAAGAACAAGAGCTACGACATCCGCATCGAGAACTTTGATGTTTCCTTCGGAGAAAGGTGAGTCTATAGCAGCAGAACTAGCAGCTGGTCCCAGGTCAGTCTGAACCCTCACTGTAAGAGGAGAGTCTATAGCAGCAGAACTAGCAGCTGGTCCCAGGTCAGTCTGAACCCTCACTGTAAGAGTAGAGTCTATAGCAGCAGAACTAGCAGCTGGTCCCAGGTCAGTCTGAACCCTCACTGTAAGAGGAGAGTCTTCAGTCTATAGCAGCAGAACTAGCAGCTGGTCCCAGGTCAGTCTGAACCAGCCCTCACTGTAAGAGGAGAGTCTATAGCAGCAGAACTAGCAGCTGGTCCCAGGTCAGTCTGAACCAGCCCTCACTGTAAGAGGAGAGTCTTCAGTCTATAGCAGCAGAACTAGGAGCTGGTCCCAGGTCAGTCTGAACCAGCCCTCACTGTAAGAGGAGAGTCTTCAGTCTATAGCAGCAGAACTAGCAGCTGGTCCCAGGTCAGTCTGAACCAGCCCTCACTGTAAGAGGAGAGTCTTCAGTCTATAGCAGCAGAACTAGCAGCTGGTCCCAGGTCAGCCTGAACCAGCCTTCACTGTAAGAGGAGAGTCTTCAGTCTATAGCAGCAGAACTAGCAGCTGGTCCCAGGTCAGTCTGAACCAGCCCTCACTGTAAGAGGAGAGTCTATAGCAGCAGAACTAGCAGCTGGTCCCAGGTCAGTCTGAACCCTCACTATAAGAGGAGAGTCTTCAGTCTATAGCAGCAGAACTAGCAGCTGGTCCCAGGTCAGTCTGAACCCTCACTGTAAGAGGAGAGTCTTCAGTCTATAGCAGCAGAACTAGCAGCTGGTCCCAGGTCAGTCTGAACCAGCCCTCACTGTAAGAGGAGAGTCTTCAGTCTATAGCAGCAGAACTAGCAGCTGGTCCCAGGTCAGTCTGAACCAGCCCTCACTGTAAGAGGAGAGTCTTCAGCCTATAGCAGCAGAACTAGCAGCTGGTCCCAGGTCAGCCTGAACCAGCCCTCACTGTAAGAGGAGAGTCTTCAGTCTATAGCAGCAGAACTAGCAGCTGGTCCCAGGTCAGTCTGAACCAGCCCTCACTGTAAGAGGAGAGTCTTCAGTCTATAGCAGCAGAACTAGCAGCTGGTCCCAGGTCAGTCTGAACCAGCCCTCACTGTAAGAGGAGAGTCTTCAGTCTATAGCAGCAGAACTAGCAGCTGGTCCCAGGTCAGTCTGAACCAGCCCTCACTGTAAGAGGAGAGTCTTCAGTCTATAGCAGCAGAACTAGGAGCTGGTCCCAGGTCAGTCTGAACCAGCCCTCACTGTAAGAGGAGAGTCTTCAGTCTATAGCAGCAGAACTAGGAGCTGGTCCCAGGTCAGTCTGAACCAGCCCTCACTGTAAGAGGAGAGTCTTCAGTCTATAGCAGCAGAACTAGGAGCTGGTCCCAGGTCAGTCTGAACCAGCCCTCACTGTAAGAGGAGAGTCTTCAGTCTATAGCAGCAGAACTAGCAGCTGGTCCCAGGTCAGCCTGAACCAGCCCTCACTGTAAGAGGAGAGTCTTCAGTCTATAGCAGCAGAACTAGCAGCTGGTCCCAGGTCAGCCTGAACCAGCCCTCACTGTAAGAGGAGAGTCTTCAGTTTATAGCAGCAGAACTAGCAGCTGGTCCCAGGTCAGTCTGAACCAGCCCTCACTGTAAGAAGATAGTCTTCAGTCTATAGCAGCAGAACTAGGAGCTGGTCCCAGGTCAGTCTGAACCCTCACTGTAAGAGGAGAGTCTTCAGTCTATAGCAGCAGAACTAGGAGCTGGTCCCAGGTCAGTCTGAACCAGCCCTCACTGTAAGAGGAGAGTCTTCAGTCTATAGCAGCAGAACTAGGAGCTGGTCCCAGGTCAGTCTGAACCAGCCCTCACTGTAAGAGGAGAGTCTTCAGTCTATAGCAGCAGAACTAGCAGCTGGTCCCAGGTCAGCCTGAACCAGCCCTCACTGTAAGAGGAGAGTCTTCAGTCTATAGCAGCAGAACTAGCAGCTGGTCCCAGGTCAGCCTGAACCAGCCCTCACTGTAAGAGGAGAGTCTTCAGTTTATAGCAGCAGAACTAGCAGCTGGTCCCAGGTCAGTCTGAACCAGCCCTCACTGTAAGAAGATAGTCTTCAGTCTATAGCAGCAGAACTAGGAGCTGGTCCCAGGTCAGTCTGAACCCTCACTGTAAGAGGAGAGTCTTCAGTCTATAGCAGCAGAACTAGGAGCTGGTCCCAGGTCAGTCTGAACCAGCCCTCACTGTAAGAGGAGAGTCTTCAGTCTATAGCAGCAGAACTAGGAGCTGGTCCCAGGTCAGTCTGAACCAGCCCTCACTGTAAGAGGAGAGTCTTCAGTCTATAGCAGCAGAACTAGCAGCTGGTCCCAGGTCAGTCTGAACCAGCCCTCACTGTAAGAGGAGAGTCTTCAGTCTATAGCAGCAGAACTAGGAGCTGGTCCCAGGTCAGCCTGAACCAGCCCTCACTGTAAGAGGAGAGTCTTCAGTCTATAGCAGCAGAACTAGCAGCTGGTCCCAGGTCAGTCTGAACCAGCCCTCACTATAAGAGGAGAGTCTTCAGTCTATAGCAGCAGAACTAGCAGCTGGTCCCAGGTCAGTCTGAACCAGCCCTCACTGTAAGAGGAGAGTCTTCAGTCTATAGCAGCAGAACTAGCAGCTGGTCCCAGGTCAGTCTGAACCAGCCCTCACTGTAAGAGGAGAGTCTTCAGTCTATAGCAGCAGAACTAGGAGCTGGTCCCAGGTCAGTCTGAACCAGCCCTCACTGTAAGAGGAGAGTCTTCAGTCTATAGCAGCAGAACTAGGAGCTGGTCCCAGGTCAGCCTGAACCAGCCCTCACTATAAGAGGAGAGTCTTCAGTCTATAGCAGCAGAACTAGCAGCTGGTCCCAGGTCAGTCTGAACCAGCCCTCACTATAAGAGGAGAGTCTTCAGTCTATAGCAGCAGAACTAGCAGCTGGTCCCAGGTCAGTCTGAATGACTATAATCTCTGTGCAGGTGTTTGCTGCAGGGGGCGGAGATCTCTCTGTCTTCGGGCAGGCGCTACGGTCTGATTGGTCGTAACGGTTTGGGGAAGACGACCCTCCTGAAGATGTTGGCGAGTCGCAGTCTGCGGGTCCCGCCTCACATCACCATCCTGCACGTGGAACAGGAAGTGGCCGGAGACGAGACCAGAGCTCTGCAGAGCGTCCTGGAGAGCGACTCCGTGAGGGAGGGGCTGCTGGCGGAGGAGAGGAACCTCAACGCGCGCATCGCCACCGGAGCGTAAGAAACATCACAACAACACATACGTTATCTCAGACATCATAAACTGCATCAAGTAATAATAACATGTGATAAACACACATCTCAGGTATTATGGTACGTCTCTATCAACTAATAATAATAATAACTTATTCTAATATCTATCTTCAAATATCATATTTATATAAAAGTAAAAAGGCATCACTTTATTAATCCCCAGGGTGAGATGAAGTTCTAATGTATATATAATGTAAAGTTATAATTATACAAGTATGATATTATTACACATCACGTGATCACATACTTAGGCAGAAGTGAAAAATAATGTTTTTTACTTAAAGGTGGGGTAGGTAAGTTTGAGAAACCGGCTCGAGATACACTTGTTGTTATATTCCATGGAATGCTCTTAACATCCTGATAGCAATGAATATCTGAAGTGCTTTGACAAAAAATCCATAAATAAATATAATCTGTGGAAGCTGTAGTACTGTAAAAAGCACGACCAATCATCTGAGCCGGCCCGGCTAAAATAACTGGATGGCCTACCTGCCTGTCAGCCTTCCATCTGTGCACAAACTTATCTGGTGCCCTCATTGGTCATGTGCGCGTTCGTGTGTGTTGGAGGAGGGGCTCTGTAAGGAAGTGGCAGATTTTCTCCGGTTGTGTATTTTCTAATTCTAGCGATCTCGAGCCGGTTTCTCAAACTTACCTACCCTACCTTTAAGTGTAAAAATAATAGATCAAAGTTTCTCTATATTTTTAGTTCATTTGTTTTCATGGAGAATCTTGAAGCCCCACCAAAGTGTTTATTTTGTCTTGTTATTGTTGTTGTTAATATGTTGTTGTTCCCTATAACCCCAGTATTGACGGGAATGAGAGCGTCCGGCTGACGGAGATCTACGCCAAGCTGGAGGAGATCGAGGCGGACAAAGCCCCGGCCCGGTGAGGAGGCTGCTGCTGCTGCTGCTGCTGTTGTTGTTGTTGTTGCTGTTGTTGTTACCTTCATGCCACCCACTGGGTCTGACTGGTGATGTGTTTGTGATTGACATCTGTCTCGTCCAATCAGAGCGTCCGTCATCCTGGCCGGACTCGGGTTTTCTTCCAAAATGCAACAGCAGACCACCAAGTGAGCGCACACACACACACACACACACACACACACACACACACACACACACACACACACACACACACACACACACACACACACACCCCCCATATCAACATATTGGTTTTATAATAATGTGTGTGTGTGTGCAGGGAGTTCTCAGGAGGATGGAGGATGAGGCTGGCGTTGGCCAGAGCTCTGTTCGCTAAGTGAGTGTTTCTGTTTCTCTACGAGCTATTATTCAGACGTGTGTGTTAACTGTTTATTATGTGTGTGTTAACTCTTCATTATGTGTGTGTTAACTCTTTATGTGTGTGTTTCAGGCCGGACCTGCTGCTGCTGGATGGTGAGTCCACTAGTAGGAGAGAGAGAGAGCTCATTTCTCCCGTGTTATTCTCCAAAGTTAATTTGAATAATGTTCTTCATTTGAATGTAATAATGATGTTGGTTGTTTGTGGAAGCGCCAGGATGAGTTTTAAACATCACTTTAAATGGAAGATCCCCATAGGCCCCGCCCACTCGATCGGATCATCCCTAATCAGCAGTATACTTGTATAATACAGTAGTATTATATGTAGTATCCGTAGTATAGTGATCGTATAACATGTATCAGTAGTATACTGGTATAGTGATATTATAATGTGCATAGTGTCAGAATAATGGGTATAGTGTGTGTGTGTGTGTGTGTGTGTGTGTGTTTCAGAGCCCACCAACATGCTGGACGTCAGAGCCATCCTCTGGTTGGAGACCTACCTGCAGGTCTGTGCCTCTCCTCCTGTTAGCATTCCTCATTGAATACAGTAGTAGCCGTTAGCCTGGAGCTAACAGATAACCCTCCTCCTCCACAGACGTGGCAGTCCACCATCTTGGTGGTTTCTCACGACAGGAACTTCCTGAACGCCGTGGTGACCGACATCGTGCACCTGCACAACCAGACCCTGGACAGTTACCGTGGCGACTACGAGAACTTCATCAAGACCAAAGAGGACCGACAGAAGAACGAGAAGCGAGAATACGATGCTCAGCTGCAGTACAGACAGCACATACAGGTACTACTGCAGTACAGACAGCACATACAGGTACTACTGCAGTACAGACAGCACATACAGGTACTACTGCAGTACAGACGGCACATACAGGTACTACTGCAGTACAGACAGCACATACAGGTACTACTGCAGTACAGACGGCACATACAGGTACTACTGCAGTACAGACGGCACATACAGGTACTACTGCAGTACAGACGGCACATACAGGTACTACAGCAGTACAGATAGCACATACAGGTACTACTGCAGTACAGACAGCTACTACTGCTGCAGTACAGCCAGCACATACAGGTACTACTACTGCAGTACAGACAGCACATACAGGTACTACTACTGCAGTACAGACGGCACATACAGGTACTACAGCAGTACAGACGGCACATACAGGTACTACAGCAGTACACACGGCACATACAGGTACTACTGCAGTACAGACAGCACATACAGGTACTACTGCAGTACAGACAGCACATACAGGTACTACTGCAGTACAGACAGCACATATAGGTACTACTGCAGTACAGACAGCACATACAGGTACTACTGCAGTACAGACAGCACATACAGGTACTACTACAGTACAGACAGCACATACAGGTACTACTGCAGTACAGCATGCATTGCGTCACTGACGGCGTGTGTCTGTGCTTCAGGTGTTCATCGACAGATTCCGGTACAACGCTAACAGAGCAGCTCAGGTCCAGAGCAAACTGAAACTACTGGAGAGACTGTGAGTACACACACCTGTACACACCTGATACACACCTGATACACACCTGATACACACCTGATACACACCTGATACACACCTGATACACACCCGATACACACCCGATACACACCCGATACACACCCGATACACACCCGATACACACCCGATACACACCCGGTACACACCCGGTACACACCCGGTACACACCCGGTACACACCCGGTACACACCCGGTACACGCCTAATACACACCTGATGCACACCCGATGCACACCCGATGCACACCCGATACACACCCGATACACACCCGGTACACACCCGATACACACCCGATACACACCCGATACACACCCGGTACACACCCGGTACACACCCGGTACACACCCGGTACACACCCGGTACACACCCGGTACACACCCGGTACACACCCGGTACACACCCGGTACACGCCTAATACACACCTGATACACACCCGATGCACACCCGATGCACACCCGATACACACCCGATACACGCCTAATACACACCTGATACACACCCGATGCACACCCGATACACACCCGATACACACCCGGTACACACCTAATGCACACCAGATGCACACCCGATGCACACCCGATACACACCCGATGCACACCAGATGCACACCAGATGCACACCCGATGCACACCCGATACACACCCGATACACACACCTGGTGCACACCTGTGTCCCTTGCTACCTGTGCTGCTGTGACGCTCCTCTGACAGACAGGTAACTCTGTTTGTTTCCTCCTGCAGACCTGAGATGAAGCCGCTTGAAAAAGAGATTGAGGTCTCCTTAAAGTAAGAAGAGCAGATTGATTGATTGATTGGTTAATTGATGAGTTAATTGATTAATTGATGAACATGCTTTGTGTTCCTCAGGTTCCCAGATAACTTTGAGAAGTTGTCTCCTCCCATCCTTCAGTTGGATGAGCTGGAGTTTTACTACACTCCGGATCGTCCTCTCTTCTCGGGACTCAACGTGTCGGCCGACCTCGAGTCTCGCATCTGCATCGTACGTTCAACCAGCCAATCACAGCCCAGCATTCACATGAGACTTCACACCTGTAATCAGTGCCCTAAACACCTGACGCTGTTGTGTTTCCTGATAGGTCGGTGAAAACGGCGCGGGTAAAACCACCGTCCTGAAGCTGCTGATGGGCGACTTAACGCCGGTCAACGGAATGAGACAAGCCCACAGGTACCAGTTCACAGGGAACCTTCACTCGTAAACTTATTACAATGTTAGGGAACCATTTTCTCTTCTCAGTGAATCGTTAACGCTCTGTCTATAGGTTCATTTGTTTTTAGGGAACCGTTAACTCTTAGTTTATGAGTACTATTTAGGGAACCTGAAGGTTCATCTTGCTGGTTGTTTTGTCCCCAGGAGCCTGAAGATCGGTTACTTCAGTCAGCATCACGTGGACCAGCTGGACATGAACGTCTGCTCCATAGAGCTGCTGCTCAACCGCTTCCCCGGTAACCACAACAACAACAACAACAATAACAATAAACCAAACACCATGCTGAGCTGTGTCTGCTTCTGATTGATTGTGTCTGGTCCTGATTGGATGTTCCTGATTGGATGTTCCTGATTGGATGTTCCTGATTGGATGTTCCTGATTGGATGTTCCTGATTGGATGTTCCTGATTGGCTGGTCCTGATTGGCTGGTCCTGATTGGCTGGTCCTGATTGGCTGGTCCTGATTGGCTGGTCCTGATTGGATGGTTCTGATTGGATGGTTCTGATTGGATGGTTCTGATTGATTGTATGTTTGTGTGCAGGTCGGCCGGAGGAGGAGTACCGGCACCAGCTGGGCGGGTACGGGATCACTGGTGAACTCGCCACGAGGCCGGTGGCCAGTCTGTCGGGGGGGCAAAAGAGTCGCGTGGCCTTCGCTCAGATGACCATGCCGTGGTAGGAAAACACTCCGGGGGGGGGGGGGGACATTAGAGTGGAGTATTTTCAAAGTATTTCTTCTTGCAGACTCTTGATTTAATGTTTGTATAGCTTTTACAATCAAAAGAACTCGTCTAATCCAAACCACAATTTCTTAAAGTTGTTAAAGTTTATGCATTTTTTTAAATATAACGACAGTCATTTAAAGATTCAAAGGTTTTATCATCGGATGCTCAGCAGTGTAGATATGGCAATGAACATCTGAAGTCACAGGCTCCTCCCACAATGCAATGTAAATATAAATAAGACATAAAACAATAACAATATTGAACTAGAACAGCATAAATAAAATAGTGCAAAGAAGGTTGAAAGTGACCAATGTAAATGCGTAAGAAGTAAACATGTGACATAGAATTAGCTGAAAGCTGAACAGGAACAAAGTATATATTTGTTTTTGATCCCGTCAGTCCAAACTTCTACATCCTGGACGAGCCGACCAATCATCTGGACATGGAGACCATCGAGGCTCTCGCGAAGTCCCTCAACAAGTTCAGAGTGAGTGAATCACCCTCCTTCAGGGAACCGTTTACTGTCTGAGGGAACAGTTGACTGTCTTTAGGGAACAGTTGACTGTCTTTAGGGAACAGTTTACTGTCTGAGGGAACAGTTGACTGTCTTTAGGGAACAGTTGACTGTCTTTAGGGAACAGTTGACTGTCTTTAGGGAACAGTTTACTGTCTTAGGGAACAGTTTACTCTTAGGGAACAGTTGACTGTCTTAGGGAACAGTTGACTCTCTTAGGGAACAGTTTACTGTCTTAGGGAACAGTTTACTCTTAGGGAACAGTTGACTGTCTTTGGGAACCGTTGACTGTCTTTGGGAGCAGTTGACTGTCTTGGGGAACAGTTTACTGTCTTAGGGAACAGTTTACTTTCTTTAGGGAACAGTTGACTGTCTTAGGGAACAGTTGACTGTCTTTAGGGAACAGTTGACTTTCTGAGGGAACCGTTGACTGTCTTTGGGAACCGTTGACTGTCTTTGGGAGCAGTTGACTGTCTTGGGGAACAGTTGACTGTCTTTAGGGAACAGTTGACTGTCTTAGGGAACAGTTGACTGTCTTTAGGGAACAGTTGACTTTCTGAGGGAACCGTTGACTGTCTTTGGGAACCGTTGACTGTCTTTGGGAGCAGTTGACTGTCTTTGGGAACAGTTGACTGTCTTAGGGAACCGTTGACTGTCTTAGGGAACCGTTGACTGTCTTTGGGAACCGTTGACTGTCTTTGGGAGCAGTTGACTGTCTTGGGGAACAGTTTACTGTCTTGGGGAACAGTTTACTGTCTTAGGGAACAGTTGACTGTCTTGGGGAACAGTTTACTTTCTTTAGGGAACAGTTGACTGTCTTTAGGGAACAGTTGACTGTCTTAGGGAACAGTTGACTGTCTTTAGGGAACAGTTGACTGAGGGAACAGTTTGCTGTCTTTAGGGAACAGTTTACTGTCTTTAGGGAACAGTTGACTTTCTTTAGGGAACAGTTGACTCTCTTAGGGAACAGTTGACTGTCTTTAGGGAACAGTTGACTGAGGGAACAGTTTACTGTCTTAGGGAACAGTTTACTGTCTTTAGGGAACAGTTTACTGTCTTTAGGGAACAGTTGACTGAGGGAACAGTTTACTGTCTTAGGGAACAGTTTACTGTCTTTAGGGAACAGTTGACTGTCTTTAGGGAACAGTTGACTGAGGGAACAGTTTACTGTCTTTAGGGAACAGTTTACTGTCTTTAGGGAACAGTCGACTGTCTTTAGGGAACAGTTGACTGTCTTTAGGGAACAGTTGACTGAGGGAACAGTTTACTGTCTTTAGGGAACAGTTGACTGTCTTTAGGGAACAGTTGACTGAGGGAACAGTTTACTGTATTTAGGGAACAGTTTACTGTCTTTAGGGAACAGTTGACTGAGGGAACAGTTGACTGTCTTTAGGGAACAGTTGACTGAGGGAACAGTTTACTGTCTTAGGGAACAGTTGACTGTCTTTAGGGAACAGTTGACTGAGGGAACAGTTTACTGTCTTTAGGGAACAGTTGACTGAGGGAACAGTTGACTGTCTTTAGGGAACAGTTGACTGAGGGAACAGTTTACTGTCTTAGGGAACAGTTGACTGTCTTTAGGGAACAGTTGACTGAGGGAACAGTTTACTGTCTTTAGGGAACAGTTTACAGTTTACTGTCTTTAGGGAACAGTTGACTGTCTTTAGGGAACAGTTGACTGAGGGAACAGTTTACTGTCTTAGGGAACAGTTGACTGAGGGAACAGTTTACTGTCTTTAGGGAACAGTTGACTGAGGGAACAGTTTACTGTCTTAGGGAACAGTTTACTGTCTTTAGGGAACAGTTGACTGTCTTTAGGGAACAGTTGACTGAGGGAACAGTTTACTGTCTTTAGGGAACAGTTGACTGAGGGAACAGTTGACTGTCTTTAGGGAACAGTTGACTGAGGGAACAGTTTACTGTCTTAGGGAACAGTTGACTGTCTTTAGGGAACAGTTGACTGAGGGAACAGTTTACTGTCTTTAGGGAACAGTTTACTGTCTTTAGGGAACAGTTGACTGAGGGAACAGTTTACTGTCTTTAGGGAACAGTTGACTGAGGGAACAGTTGACTGTCTTTAGGGAACAGTTTACTGTCTTTAGGGAACAGTTTACTGTCTTTAGGGAACAGTTGACTGAGGGAACAGTTTACTGTCTTTAGGGAACAGTTGACTGAGGGAACAGTTGACTGTCTTTAGGGAACAGTTGACTGAGGGAACAGTTTACTGTCTTTAGGGAACAGTTTACTGTCTTTAGGGAACAGTTGACTGAGGGAACAGTTGACTGTCTTTAGGGAACAGTTGACTGAGGGAACAGTTTACTGTCTTTAGGGAACAGTTTACTGTCTTTAGGGAACAGTTGACTGAGGGAACAGTTGACTGTCTTTAGGGAACAGTTGACTGAGGGAACAGTTTACTGTCTTTAGGGAACAGTTTACTGTCTTTAGGGAACAGTTGACTGTCTTTAGGGAACAGTTGACTGAGGGAACAGTTGACTGTCTTTAGGGAACAGTTGACTGAGGGAACAGTTTACTGTCTTTATGGAACAGTTGACTGTCTTTAGGGAACAGTTGACTGAGGGAACAGTTTACTGTCTTAGGGAACAGTTGACTGTCTTTAGGGAACAGTTGACTGAGGGAACAGTTTACTGTCTTAGGGAACAGTTGACTGTCTTTAGGGAACAGTTGACTGAGGGAACAGTTGACTGTCTTTAGGGAACAGTTGACTGAGGGAACAGTTTACCTTCTTTAGGGAACAGTTGACTGAGGGAACAGTTTACTGTCTTTAGGGAACAGTTTACTGTCTTTAGGGAACAGTTGACTGAGGGAACAGTTTACTGTCTTAGGGAACAGTTTACTGTCTTTAGGGAACAGTTTACTGTCTTTAGGGAACAGTTGACTGAGGGAACAGTTTACTGTCTTTAGGGAACAGTTGACTGTCTTTAGGGAACAGTTGACTGAGGGAACAGTTTACTGTCTTTAGGGAACAGTTGACTGTCTTTAGGGAACAGTTGACTGAGGGAACAGTTTACTGTCTTAGGGAACAGTTGACTGTCTTTAGGGAACAGTTGACTGAGGGAACAGTTTACTGTCTTTAGGGAACAGTTTACTGTCTAAGGGTTGTAGTTGTGTCACATGTTAGTCTCAGGTTTGTCTCAGGTTTGTCTCTGGTGTGTCTCAGGTTAGTCTCTGGTGTGTCTCAGGTTAGTCTCTGGTGTGTCTCTGGTGTGTCTCAGGTTAGTCTCAGGTTAGTCTCTGGTGTGTCTCTGGTGTGTCTCAGGTTAGTCTCTGGTGTGTCTCTGGTGTGTCTCAGGTTAGTCTCAGGTTAGTCTCTGGTGTGTCTCAGGTTAGTCTCAGGTTAGTCTCTGGTGTATCGCAGGTTAGTCTCTGGTGTGTCTCAGGTTAGTCTCAGGTTAGTCTCAGGTTAGTCTCTGGTGTATCTCAGGTTAGTCTCAGGTTAGTCTCAGGTTAGTCTCAGGTTAGTCTCTGGTGTGTCTCTGGTGTGTCTCTGGTGTGTCTCTGGTGTGTCTCTGGTGTGTCTCAGGTTAGTCTCAGGTTAGTCTCAGGTTAGTCTCAGGTTAGTCTCTGGTGTATCTCAGGTTAGTCTCTGGTGTGTCTCTGGTTAGTCTCTGGTGTATCTCAGGTTAGTCTCTGGTGTGTCTCAGGTTAGTCTCTGGTGTGTCTCAGGTTAGTCTCTGGTGTGTCTCTGGTGTGTCTCAGGTTAGTCTCAGGTTAGTCTCAGGTTAGTCTCAGGTTAGTCTCTGGTGTATCTCAGGTTAGTCTCTGGTGTGTCTCTGGTGTGTCTCTGGTTAGTCTCTGGTGTGTCTCAGGTTAGTCTCAGGTTAGTCTCAGGTTAGTCTCAGGTTAGTCTCAGGTTAGTCTCTGGTGTATCTCAGGTTAGTCTCAGGTTAGTCTCTGGTGTGTCTCTGGTTAGTCTCTGGTGTGTCTCAGGTTAGTCTCAGGTTAGTCTCAGGTTAGTCTCTGGTGTGTCTCAGGTTAGTCTCAGGTTAGTCTCTGGTGTGTCTCAGGTTAGTCTCTGGTTAGTCTCTGGTGTGTCTCAGGTGCGTCTCCTCACTGTGTGATGTCATGTTTCAGGGCGGGGTCATCCTGGTGTCTCACGACGAGCGTCTGATCCGCATGGTGTGCAAGGAGCTGTGGGTGTGTGAGCATGGGAAGGTGGGCCGCATCGACGGAGGCTTCGACGAGTACCGGGACATCCTGCACGAGCAGTTCAAGAAGGAGGGTTACCTGTGAGGCCCCGCCCACTTACCTGTGAGGCCCCGCTCAGCGCCTCAACAAGCCCCGCCCCCTCTAACAACATCCTGTTATAGCCAATCAGCAGCCTGGAGGACGTATTTTTTTTTCTCCTCTGAACTGATGTGCTGCAGGCCGATTGGTCGATTTCCCCTGGTGATGTCAGTGAACTCTGGAGGAGGCGGAGTCTATTTAAAGTCCATCGTCACATTAAACCTGATCTTTTTTTTTCTGTATCATCGACTCTTTTAAAGGACCCAACGTTATATTTACATTCAGACACAAAACAAATAAATCCATCAGATCATGGTCTGTTCTTCTTCTGCTGATTCCTTTACCACTGTCTTCATGGGGGGGGGTTACAGGTGTGATTCCTTTACCACATCCTTCTGTCTTCATGGGGGGGGGGTTACAGGTGTGATTCCTTTACCACATCATTCTGTCTTCATGGGGGGGGGGGGGGTTACAGGTGTGATTCCTTTACCACATCCTTCTGTCTTCATGGGGGGGGGGTTACAGGTGTGATTCCTTTACCACATCCTTCTGTCTTCATGGGGGGGGGGTTACAGGTGTGATTCCTTTACCACATCCTTCTGTCTTCATGGGGGGGGGGGGTTACAGGTGTGATTCCTTTACCACATCCTTCTGTCTTCATGGGGGGGGGGTTACAGGTGTGATTCCTTTACCACATAATTCTGTCTTCATGGGGGGGGGGGGGGTTACAGGTGTGATTCCTTTACAACATCCTTCTGTCTTCATGGGGGGGGGGGGGTTCAGGTGTGATTCCTTTACCACATCCTTCTGTCTTCATGGGGGGGGGGGGGGTTACAGGTGTGATTCCTTTACAACATCCTTCTGTCTTCATGGGGGGGGGGTTACAGGTGTGATTCCTTTACAACATCCTTCTGTCTTCATGGGGGGGGGGGGTTACAGGTGTGATTCCTTTTACAACATCCCTTCTGTCTTCATGGGGGGGGGTTACAGGTGTGATTCCTTTACAACATCCTTCTGTCTTCATGGGGGGGGGGTTACAGGTGTGTTTCCTTTGATGTATACAGTCTATCAGAAGTGTTTCTATAAAGATATAGTATGAGTACTGTGTCTGTTTACTGATCTTGTTTATAAGTTATATCAATTCTCTCAAGAACATGACGCCCGCGGACGTAAACCACACCGTGGCGTAAACCACACCGTGGCGTAAACCACACCGTGGCGTAAACCACACCGTGGCGTAAACGACAACGTGGCGTAAACCACAATGTGGCGTAAACGCATAGCCGTGGGAACATGTTTCAAATGGGGGGTGCTGTGGGGATGGCACCAGTCTGCTGGTAAAGATCGATAGCGTGTCTAAGCAATACACAATAGAATAAATGAAAAACCTACCAAAGACCAACGCACTACAGAAAGAGAGACGTGTTGACACGGTGCACAGCTTGTATAAAAAGGCTTCAAATGCATTTAGTGTTGTATGAACATGTTTTAACACGTCACATCCTCTAGGGGGGTCCGGGGGTATGCTTCAAGTAAAATGCTTCAATCTGGAGCACTTTGAGCAGAATCCCTAGAGACCTGATCTAGGGGAACTCTAAACCCCATATGAAACAGATCGGTTTGCATTTTAATAATCAATAAGTATGTGAACATAACCAATAACCCAGAGCCAATAACAAATACATGGAACGTATTTTATTTTTGTTCATTCATATCTTATTTTAGTTAACATTTATTTATTTATGCATCTCTCCAGTTTTAAAGGATATGTCTGGTTTTCTGTCCTGTAGTATACACTGGAATGATTTCAAACCTGTTATTGATCCCAATAATGATAAAGGAGTGCCTTGGAAATATGTGTTTACACAAATGGTGATGGGACCGTTTGAGACCCACTGAGAGAACTTAGACTAAAGTGAACTATCTAACCCCTCAGAGTCCTTTACCTCACTGAGCCTCTGAGTCCTTTACCTCACTGAGCCTCTGAGTCCTTTACCTCACTGAGCCTCTGAGTCCTTTACCTCACTGAGCCTCTGAGTCCTTTACCTCACTGAGCCTCTGAGTCCTTTACCTCACTGAGCCTCTGAGTCCTTCACCTCACTGAGCCTCAGAGTCCTTTACCTCACTGAGCCTCTGAGTCCTTCACCTCACTGAGCCTCAGAGTCCTTTACCTCACTGAGCCTCAGAGTCCTTTACCTCACTGAGCCTCAGAGTCCTTTACCTCACTGAGCCTCAGAGTCCTTCACCTCACTGAGCCTCTGAGTCCTTTACCTCACTGAGCCTCAGAGTCCTTTACCTCACTGAGCCTCAGAGTCCTTTACCTCACTGAGCCTCTGAGTCCTTTACCTCACTGAGCCTCTGAGTCCTTTACCTCACTGACCCTCAGAGTCCTTTACCTCACTGAGCCTCAGAGTCCTTTACCTCACTGAGCCTCAGAGTCCTTTACCTCACTGAGCCTCAGAGTCCTTTACCTCACTGAGCCCTCAGAGTCCTTTACCTCACTGAGCCTCTGAGTCCTTTACCTCACTGAGCCTCTGAGTCCTTTACCTCACTGAGCCTCAGAGTCCTTTACCTCCACTGAGCCTCAGAGTCCTTTACCTCACTGAGCCTCTGAAGTCCTTTACCTCACTGAGCCTCTGAGTCCTTTACCTCACTGAGCCTCTGAGTCCTTTACCTCACTGACCCTCAGAGTCCTTTACCTCACTGACCCTCTGAGTCCTTTACCTCACTGAGCCTCTGAGTCCTTTACCTCACTGAGCCTCTGAGTCCTTTACCTCACTGAGCCTCTGAGTCCTTTACCTCACTGAGCCTCAGAGTCCTTCACCTCACTGAGCCTCTGAGTCCTTTACCCTCACTGAGCCTCAGAGTCCTTCACCTCACTGAGCCTCAGAGTCCTTCACCTCACTGAGCCTCAGAGTCCTTTACCTCACTGAGCCTCAGAGTCCTTTACCTCACTGAGCCTCAGAGTCCTTTACCTCACTGAGCCTCAGAGTCCTTTACCTCACTGAGCCTCAGAGTCCTTTACCTCACTGAGCCTCTGAGTCCTTTACCTCACTGAGCCTCAGAGTCCTTTACCTCACTGAGCCTCTGAGTCCTTTACCTCACTGAGCCTCTGAGTCCTTCACCTCACTGAGCCTCAGAGTCCTTTACCTCACTGAGCCTCAGAGTCCTTTACCTCACTGAGCCTCAGAGTCCTTTACCTCACTGAGCCTCAGAGTCCTTCACCTCACTGAGCCTCTGAGTCCTTTACCTCACTGAGCCTCTGAGTCCTTTACCTCACTGAGCCTCTGAGTCCTTTACCTCACTGAGCCTCTGAGTCCTTTACCTCACTGAGCCTCAGAGTCCTTTACCTCACTGAGCCTCTGAGTCCTTTACCTCACTGAGCCTCTGAGTCCTTTACCTCACTGAGCCTCTGAGTCCTTCACCTCACTGAGCCTCTGAGTCCTTTACCTCACTGAGCCTCAGAGTCCTTTACCTCACTGAGCCTCAGAGTCCTTTACCTCACTGACCCTCAGAGTCCTTCACCTCACTGAGCCTCAGAGAGTCCTTTACCTCACTGAGCCTCAGAGAGTCCTTTACCTCACTGAGCCTCAGAGAGTCCTTTACCTCACTGAGCCTCAGAGTCCTTTACCTCACTGAGCCTCAGAGTCCTTTACCTCACTGAGCCTCAGAGTCCTTTACCTCACTGAGCCTCAGAGTCCTTCACCCTCACTGAGCCTCTGAGTCCTTTACCTCACTGAGCCTCAGAGTCCTTTACCTCACTGAGCCTCAGAGTCCTTTACCTCACTGAGCCTCAGAGTCCTTTACCTCACTGAGCCTCAGAGTCCTTCACCTCACTGAGCCTCTGAGTCCTTTACCTCACTGAGCCTCAGAGTCCTTTACCTCACTGAGCCTCAGAGTCCTTTACCTCACTGAGCCTCAGAGTCCCTTCACCTCACTGAGCCTCTGAGTCCTTTACCTCACTGAGCCTCAGAGTCCCTTTACCTCACTGAGCCTCAGAGTCCTTTACCTCACTGAGCCTCAGAGTCCTTTACCTCACTGAGCCTCAGAGTCCTTTACCTCACTGAGCCTCAGAGTCCTTCACCTCACTGAGCCTCTGAGTCCTTTACCTCACTGAGCCTCAGAGTCCTTTACCTCACTGAGCCTCTGAGGGGAAATGGAAAGTGTAACCGGGGTGAAAAGGGTGTTATCGTTACTTCATTATGAATGTTGTTACATCAAGGCCGAAAATTTGTTTTTTTTGTATTATATTTCCATTTAATCTTGTGGACGTTCAGATTCTCTGTCCTCCATCAGGGGGCGCTGCAGCACCCTCAGCACCCCTACTTCCCACGGCCATGCTAAACGACAATGTGACGTGAACGACAACGTGAGGTCGGAGCTCGTGAAAACAAAGCTGTCTGAGACTCAGGTTTCTGAGGAACAGAATATATCGTTTTCTGGCATCTCTTTCATCGTTTTACGGGACATCTGCATTTTGGTCTGAGGGCGCAGAGAGACCCTGATGTGTGATGTTTTACAAGGAACTCAGACAGTCTCTCAGGTCAAAGGTCAAAGTAAAACATGTTCAAGGAACTCAGAAAGTCTCTCAGGTCAAAGGTCAAAGTGAAACATGTTCAAGGAACAAACCCGACCTGTAGTTTTCAGTAAGGGAAGCACAAAGACGTTATCAAAGCTTTATTAAAAAGACCCTTCAAAGAACACATGATTACAAACCAATAGATTAGCAAGAAAAGACCTGAAAAGGAGATGAGCTCAAGTGGCCTTTCTTTCGTACACTTCGTCTGTACATGGATATAAATCCTCCAAATGTAACGACAAGATATTTTCCCTGAAGACACCGAGCGTTTTCTGATACGACCAAACTACGGTTTACGCTTGGCCTCATTTAGGCGTCACAATGAGCCCCTTTCACACCAAGGAGGCGAGGCCCCTCTTTAAAGTGTCTCTACAGCTCGGGGCTCCAGGACGCCCCCCCCCCCATCTCTTAGGTGAGGCAGGACAGCGTCTTGGTAAAATGTCTCCAGTTTGGACAGCGTCTCCTCCACAGCTCGGGGTCAAAGGTCACCGGGACCACGGCCGTCTCTTTAAGGGTGAAGACAACGAAGTCAGCCTGATGGACGCCCGTCACCGCCATCTGGACCTGGACCTGAGTGAAGTAGCTGTGGGACGACTTCAGGACGTACAGCGGGACCTGGGGACGAGGGGACAAGGAGACGAGGTTAGAGACGAGGAGACAAGGAGAGGAGGTTAGAGACGAGGAGAGGAGGTTAGAGACGAGGGGACAAGGAGAGGAGGTTAGAGACGAGGAGAGGAGGTTAGAGACGAGGGGACAAGGAGAGGAGGTTAGGGACGAGGAGAGAGGCGAAGAGAGGAGGTTAGAGACGAGGGGACGAGGAGAGGAGGTTAGAGACGAGGAGAGGAGGTTAGAGACGAGGGGACAAGGAGAGGAGGTTAGAGACGAGGGGACAAGGAGAGGAGGTTAGAGACGAGGAGAGGAGGTTAGAGACGAGGGGACAAGGAGAGGAGGTTAGAGACGAGGAGAGGAGGTAGAGACGAGGGGACAAGGAGAGGAGGTTAGAGACGAGGGGACAAGGAGAGGAGGTTAGAGACGAGGAGAGGAGGTTAGAGACGAGGGGACAAGGAGAGGAGGTTAGAGACGAGGGGACGAGGAGAGAGGCGAAGAGAGGAGGTTAGAGACGAGGAGACAAGGAGAGGAGGTTAGAGACGAGGGGACAAGGAGAGGAGGTTAGAGACGAGGGGACAAGGAGAGGAGGTTAGAGACGAGGGAACAAGGAGAGGAGGTTAGAGACGAGGGGACAAGGAGAGGAGGTTAGAGACGAGGAGAGGAGACGAGGAGAGGACTATAGAGACGAAGAGAGGACTATAGAGACGAAGAGAGGACTATAGAGACGAAGAGAGGACTATAGAGACGAAGAGAGGACTATAGAGACGAGGAGAGGACTATAGAGACGAGGAGAGGAGGCGAGAGAGGACGTGAGAGAGAGGACGTGAGAGAGAGGATGTGAGAGTAGTAGTCTGACCTCTCCGGGCCTCCCTCTGTCCTCGTCCTGTATCTTCAGGCAGAAGTTGGGGTCGTCCCTGCAGGCGTCCTCCACCCGTCTGTCCTTGTGTTTGTAGGGACACTTCACCTCCAGGCAGAGCAGCCGTTGGCCGGTCCGGCTGTCCGTCACGATGCCATCTGGACTCGCACCCAACCAGGGCCTCTGAGCGTCCAGGAAGAGCCCGCAGGCGAGCACCGAGACGCCCCGTCCCAACGCCGCCGTCTTCACAGCCTGCAGGACGAGGACAGATCAATGATGGAACCGGCGTTCACCGTCTCAACATTCTGACTTTCCTGTAACTCCACTTTCTGTCAGAGTTATTATAAACATGAGCTTTAGTCTGCAGTCTCATATGTTCTGGTTCTCCTCGCAGCTCCTCAGCCGAGCATCTACACCAAGAAGATGCTGCTTTTTCTAAACATTCACACTTTTTCTCAAAATCTCAAAATGTTAACTTTTTCTCAAAATTCAGACTTTTTCTCAAAATCTCAAAAATCTGAATTTCTATAACTCTCACTGCCAAGAGGTGGAGTTACAGAACAAATCAGAATTTAGAGAGAAAATCAGAATTTAGAGAAAAAGTAAGAATTTTTATAACAAAATCTGAATTTTGAGATTTTGAGAAAAACATCTCCAAACTCTGCAGTCACTCACAGAGATGCTATAAAACACCTCAGCTGAGGATGATGAGAGAGACGAGCTCATGTTTCACCAGGTGTGTGACTCTGTACCTGGTAGCTGCGGACGGCCTCGGCCTCCATCTGCACCCCCCAGGACATGGCTCTGGTCCGGACTCTCGGCGCCTCACCTGGCAGGTGAGAAACAACCAGATGGTGTTACTTCACTGTTATCTTCCCCATCATAGGTGTTCATCACCTGAGGTCATCATCACCTGAGGTCATCATCACCTGAGGTCATCATCACCTGAGGTCATCATCACCTGAGGTCATCATCACCTGAGGTCATCATCACCTGAGGTGCTCATTTCTCTCTGATGTCATCATTATACAAATCATGAGGGAGCATGAACCTCTCCGTCATGGTTAGTAAAAAGGCTGAGTCGTGTTAGTCAGGTCACTACGTACAGGGGTCCAATATTTAGGGTTAGGGTCCTATATTTGGGGGCGGGGTTTACCTGTGACAGCATCCAGGTAGGAAGTGGGCGGGGTTTACCTGTGACAGCAGCCAGGTAGGAAGTGGGCGGGGTTTACCTGTGACAGCAGCCAGGTAGGAAGTGGGCGGGGTTTACCTGTGACAGCATCCAGGTAGGAAGTGGGCGGGGTTTACCTGTGACAGCAGCCAGGTAGGAAGTGGGCGGGGTTTACCTGTGACAGCAGCCAGGTAGGAAGTGGGCGGGGTTTGGCTCTTTCCGTTGACGAATCCGCAGTGAGCGATGCTGTGAGCAATGGAGGCTGTGATCCGGTTCTTCTTCCAGGCAAACCAGGCGGGGTTGGTGCTCTGCCCGCGGGTCAGAACCTCCACCTCCTCCACCTCCTGCTGGTCCACCCGGACCCCCAGACCCAGTGGCACCTGTTATGTTTCAAGATTCAAGGCTTTTATTGTCATGTGTACAGAGCTACAGTGTAGAGGTCACAGGCTCCTCCCACAGAGCAACACAACAACACAGATAACATCATGCAAGGAGAGTCATTGGATTATGATATATTACATACATCATTTGTAAGTTTAATGTTATGGATATTCTTTCAACAGTTCAGGTGTTTAACAGTCTTATGGCCTGTGGGATGAAACTGTCCCTGAGTCTGGTGGTTTTAGTCCTGAAACTGTCTCTGAGTCTGGTGGTTTTAGTCCTGAAACTGTCTCTGAGTCTGGTGGTTTTAGACCTGAAACTGTCTCTGAGTCTGGTGGTTTTAGTCCTGAAACTGTCTCTGAGTCTGGTGGTTTTAGACCTGAAACTGTCTCTGAGTCTGGTGGTTTTAGTCCTGAAACTGTCTCTGAGTCTGGTGGTTTTAGTCCTGAAACTGTCCCTGAGTCTGGTGGTTTTAGACCTGAAACTGTCCCTGAGTCTGGTGGTTTTAGACCTGATACTGTCTCTGAGTCTGGTGGTTTTAGTCCTGAAACTGTCTCTGAGTCTGGTGGTTTTAGACCTGAAACTGTCCCTGAGTCTGGTGGTTTTAGACCTGAAACTGTCCCTGAGTCTGGTGGTTTTAGTCCTGAAACTGTCCCTGAGTCTGGTGGTTTTAGACCTGAAACTGTCCCTGAGTCTGGTGGTTTTAGTCCTGAAACTGTTCCTGAGTCTGGTGGTTTTAGACCTGAAAACTGTCCCTGAGTCTGGTGGTTTTAGACCTGAAACTGTCTCTGAGTCTGGTGGTTTTAGACCTGAAACTGTCCCTGAGTCTGGTGGTTTTAGACCTGAAACTGTCTCTGAGTCTGGTGGTTTTAGACCTGAAACTGTCCCTGAGTCTGGTGGTTTTAGTCCTGATGCTGTCCCTGAGTCTGGTGGTTTTAGACCTGAAACTGTCCCTGAGTCTGGTGGTTTTAGACCTGAAACTGTCTCTGAGTCTGGTGGTTTTAGTCCTGAAACTGTCCCTGAGTCTGGTGGTTTTAGACCTGAAACTGTCCCTGAGTCTGGTGGTTTTAGACCTGAAACTGTCTCTGAGTCTGGTGGTTTTAGACCTGAAACTGTCCCTGAGTCTGGTGGTTTTAGACCTGAAACTGTCTCTGAGTCTGGTGGTTTTGGGATTTTTGGGAATCATGGACATATAATAAAGTTCTGTAAGTCATGCCATGAGTTAATCATTTAGTTTTCTGACAAGGGGTCACCTGTACTGATGGTACACAGAGTCTCCTCATGCAGTCTGTGTTTTCTGCAGTGTCCTGTGTTACATGATCACACCATGTCAAAAGGTACATTGTTGTGTTTATGATTGTGTAAGATCTAGTTCCACGCATGTTCAATACTGTAAGATTCCCTCCTTCTGGAGACGTGCTCTCTGCTCATTGGATGAAGGGTAATCTGTCTCTTATACCGTGCTCTCTGCTCATTGGATGAAGGGTAATCTGTCTCTTATACCGTGCTCTCTGCTCATTGGATGAAGGGTAATCTGTCTCTTATACCGTGCTCTCTGCTCATTGGATGAAGGGTAATCTGTCTCTTATACCGTGCTCTCTGCTCATTGGATGAAGGGTAATCTGTCTCTTATACTGTTGGACAACAATATCATATTTTAACTCCAACCACTTCTGTGTCTGTGCTTCAATATGTTTCTATTTGGTTATCTGCTTATGTTGTGAGTGTTTAAGATATCCACGACAGACCTGCTCCGGGCTGGGGGCGTCTCCATGAACCGGGCTCTCAGCACTCTGTTTCCCCGCATCAGGTCCAGGTCTCACAGCAGGGTTCACCTGGGGGGTTCTGGGTCCAGTCTGGAGGCTACTGAGTCCAGTCTGAGGGTTCCTGGGCCCAGTTTGGGGGCTACTGGGTCCAGGTCTCACAGCAGGCTTCATCTGGGGGGTCCTGGATCCAGTCTGGGGGGTTCTGGGTCCAATCTGGGGGGTTCTGGGTCCAATCTGGGGGGTTCTGGGTCCAGTCTGGGGGGTTCTGGGTCCTGATTGAAGGGGGGGTTCAGCAGCAGGCCTGGGCCTCAGGGTCTGGCTGATTCTGGTTGTGGTTCTGGGGGTCGTGGTGCTGATGCTCGGGTGGTACCGGACCTCGGGGATCTTCAGGGTCCGGTCTGCTGCTGGGACCTGGTTTCTGTTCGGGTCCTGCATCTTCATTTATTCAGAACAGAAACAGGGTTTATTGTTAAAAATAAGACGTAATGTATTTTTTATTATTTGATTAAATGATTTATAACACTGCACGATATATAAACATAACTTCAATTGTTTACGCTAACAACTTATCGTACGATATACAGACATGATCTAAACATCGTACGATATTTGGACGTAACTGCAATAATTTAAACGTTAACAATGGTGCGTACAGCCTTGAGGGGGGTTGCAGCAGCAGGTCTGCTCCTCTGGTCCTGGCTGGTTCTGGTTCTGGTTCTGGGGGTCGTGGGCTGGATGCTGGGATGGTACCGGACCTCAGGGATCTTCAGGGTCCGGTCTGCTGCTGAGATCTGGTTTCTGTTCTGGTCGTGCATCTATATCAGAGCAGGAAGCAGAACAGGGAGACTCTTAACCCTTAAATCACTAAATACTATAAAGAGTGAATAGATTTGGGTTTTCTTCATTTCACCCACATTACATTACATGACATGACATGACATCACATGACATGACATTACATCACATTACATGACATGACATCACATCACATGACATGACATGACATGACATGACATGACATGACATCACATTACATCACATTACATCACATTACATCACATCACATGTCACTTGTCAGACGCTTTTATCCAAAGCGACTTACATGCTCAATACTGTGGACAATCCCCACAGGAGCACTTTGGGGTGAAGTGTCTCAGGGACACAACGACATGCTGACTGCAGTGGGGTTTGAACCTGTGACCCCCTGATCCCAACACCTACGGACAACCCACTGCACCACACACCTCCTGTATTACACCTGTATCACACTATTATTACAACCATATTACACTGTTATTACACCTGTATCACACTATTATTACAACCATATTACACTGTTATTACACCTGTATTACACTGTTATTACACCTGTATTACACTGTTATTACACCTGTTATTACACCCATATCACACTGTTATTACACCTGTTATTACACCCATATCACACTGTTATTACACCTGTTATTACACCCATATCACACTATTATTACACCTGTATTACACTGTTATTACACCTGTATTACACTGTTATTACACCTGTTATTACACCCATATCACACTATTATTACATCTGTATTACACCTGTATTACACTGTTATTACACCTGTATTACACCTATTATCACACTATTATTAAACCTGTATTACACTGTTATTACACCTGTATTACACTGTTATTAAACCTGTATTACACTGTTATTACACCTGTATTACACTGTTATTAAACCTGTATTACACTGTTATTACACCTGTATTACACTGTTATTACACCTGTTATTACACCCATATCACACTATTATTACATCTGTATTACACCTGTATTACACTGTTATTACACCTGTATTACACTGTTATTACACCTGTATTACACTGTTATTACACCTGTTATTACACCCATATCACACTATTATTACATCTGTATTACACCTGTATTACACTGTTATTACACCTGTATTACACTGTTATTACACCTGTTATTACACCCATATCACACTATTATTACATCTGTATTACACCTGTATTACACTGTTATTACACCTGTATTACACTGTTATTACACCTGTATTACACTGTTATTACACCTGTTATTACACCCATATCACACTATTATTACATCTGTATTACACCTGTATTACACTGTTATTACACCTGTATTACACCTATTATCACACTATTATTAAACCTGTATTACACTGTTATTAAACCTGTATTACACTGTTATTACACCTGTATTACTTGACTTCCAAGCTTTAGGGTCTGTGGCTGTAGCTTTGACTTTTCCCTCCGTCGTTGCCCTGGTATCAAGCATGCTTCCAAAAAGGGGGTCGCACACTGTTTGACTCTTTACTTAAACAAAAGGTATCAAATACAAACACATATCTTCTCAGGTCAAAAAACGATGCTAACACTGCTCTGTGCTTCTTTCTCCTGTGTGTGTGTGTGTGTGTGTGTGTGTGTGTGTGTGTGTGTGTGTGTGTGTGTGTGTGTGTGTGTGTGTGTGTGTGTGTGTGTGTGTGTGTGTGTGTGTGTGTGTGTGTGTGTGTGTGTAACATTCATATTTAGCTTGTTCTCATAAAAAAACGTAATAACACAAATGATGTGCTTTTATTTTGAAAGGTTTGAAAGCGTCAACCGGAAGTTGTTGTTTACTTGTTATTTAACCCTCGGGAGTAAACAGGTGAGTGTTCTCTCAAACTGTTTGTATTTACACGATGAACATCAGCAGGTACACACTTTACTAACAGCAGAGTAGAAGCTAGTACCCTGTAACTCAGGTATACACAGTGTAATACACTATCCACAGAACAAGATATTACACTTCAGACTGCCTCTTTACGATCTTCATACTTCCACATTACTAACAACAAACACAACAACAACAACACATACAACAGGCCGGTCAATAAAACAGACGGATCAGTTGTGTTTTAATCATTAGACAAACTGATCCTGTTCTGTACGGCTTTATGGTTATTGTGTAGTTGTTGTGTAGTTGTTGTGTAGTTAGACTGTGAGTAAACTATATTAAAACCAAAGGTAAACAGAAGATCTTACCTGCGTGTAATGTTAGTCTGTCGGAGAGAAACCTGAAGTGAAACTGTGACTCATCATCACGTGAGCTGTGTGTATGTGTGTGTGAGAGCTGTGTGTGTGTGACTCATAGTTCAACATTCCTCCGCTGGGATTGGTCAGATGTTGGACGACCCTCGCTCTGATTGGCTAATATATAGGCTCACAGTGCCTAATGGAGCCAGTTAGGACAGCCGAGCGGTCTAACGTTCAAGCGTTCGGGTCGCAGTTTCTTCGCTGGGGCGTGGGTTCGAATCCTACTTCCGTCACATGCTTTTTATATTGTTAAAACAAGCGGATGATATGATTCCTGTTATTAGTTTTAATTGTTTTTTATTGATCCCGTTTTGTTATGTTAATTTGTCTTTACATTCAGTTATTTCTGTATTTAATAATTTCCATAATGCATGTTGGAATCTCATAAATAGATTGAATTGGAGGATGAAGCCCTATTTATTGATCACACATGTTCATGCTCAAAACACACACACACACACACACACACACACACACACACACACACACACACACACACACACACACACACACACACACACACACACACACACACACACACACACACACACACAGTAGTTATGTTTAATAACATTAATAATATATTATTTACGTTTTGTTTTCATTAATTTCCATATTTCATAAATGTTCAACATTATATCTGCATGCGTTTATTAATTATATTTAATGATATCATAAGTTATTTTTTTACATTGACCTCTATGCTTCAACCTTTCTCCTCTGTGATTGGTCAAATGTTGGAGGATTGTTGGAGCCTGCTCTCTCATTGGCTGATCCTCCCAACATCACAGACAGAAGGTCGCGGGTTCGAGTCCCACTTCTGACAAGTGCTTTCTTTAAATGATGAATCAAAGAAGCAACAAACTAAATCATAATCTGTATTCAAAGTTATCTAGGATTCTGTAAAGAAAGTCCATAAAGGATGTTTGGAGAAAATAATGTGCTTTTGTTTCCTGTCTGGCAGCAGAACTACATTATTACACCTATATTAAAACCCATAATGTACCCATAATGTACCCAATATACCCATAATACACCCATATTAAAACCCATATTACACCTATATTAAAACCCATAATATACCCATATTAAAACCCATAATGTACCCATAATACACCCATATTACACCTATATTAAAACCCATATTATACCCATATTAAAACCCATAATGTACCCATAATACACCCATATTACACCTATATTAAAACCCATATTATACCCATAATGTACCCATAATATACCCATAATGTACCCATAATATACCCATATTAAAACCCATAATACGATGTGAGGGTCTAAGGACAGAGGGTGTCGTATTGTCATACTGATATTCTGTACAAACTGAAGTGCACTGAGACACATGTAACATTTACTCGGCCCATATCACACTGTTACTCGGGACATATCACTGTTACTCGGCACTTACTCGGGACATATCACTGTTACTCGGGACATATCACACTGTTACTCGGCCCATATCACTGTTACTCGGCACATATCACTGTTACTTCTTGCCCATATCACACTGTTTGACTTACTACTACGTACTTACTACTCGGCACAAAATATCACACTGTTACTACTACTCGGCCATAATCACTGTACTACTTACTACTCGGGACATATCACTGGTTACTACTCGGGACAATTCACTGTTACTCTGCCCATATCACAGCTGTTGTACTACTACTACTCTCGGCACATATCACACTGTTACTCGGCCCATATCACTGTTACTCGGGACATATCACACTGTTACTACTACTAGTTACTCGGGACATATCACACTGTTACTCGGCCCATATCACTGTTACTCGGCCCATATCACACTGTTACTCGGCACATATCACACTGTTACTCGGGACATATCACTGTTACTCGGCCCATATCACACTGTTACTCGGCACATATCACACTGTTACTCGGGACATATCACACTGTTACTCGGGACATATCACTGTTACTCGGGACATATCACACTGTTACTCGGGACATATCACTGTTACTCGGCCCATATCACTGTTACTCGGCCCATATCACACTGTTACTCGGCACATATCACACTGTTACTCGGGACATATCACACTGTTACTCGGGACATATCACTGTTACTCGGGACATATCACACTGTTACTCGGGACATATCACTGTTACTCGGCCCATATCACACTGTTACTCGGGACATATCACACTGTTACTCGGGACATATCACTGTTACTCGGCCCATATCACACTGTTACTCGGCCCATATCACACTGTTACTCGGGACATATCACTGTTACTCGGGACATATCACTGTTACTCGGGACATATCACACTGTTACTCGGCCCATATCACACTGTTACTCGGCACATATCACTGTTACTCGGCCCATATCACACTGTTACTCGGGACATATCACACTGTTACTCGGGACATATCACTGTTACTCGGGACATATCACACTGTTACTCGGCCCATATCACACTGTTACTCGGCACATATCACTGTTACTCGGGACATATCACACTGTTACTCGGCACATATCACACTGTTACTCGGCACATATCACACTGTTACTCGGCCCATATCACACTGTTACTCGGCCCATATCACACTGTATCGGCCACATATCCTGTTATCGGGAC